CGCTTTTTGCCGGGTCGAGATGTTTACAGGCCACAGCTTCCGCATGGTTGTCCTAAACATACTGCTAACTTGGAGGGGGTCCGGCTCTGATACACTGTCACGGATACGCCCCGACTCTAATACACCAGAAGGAACTATATATCCCTTTGGGTGTAGGTCCAGACGACGCCGCTACCTTTCGTGTAGTCCGACGCCCTAACACCTCAGGGTTTTTGTCCGAGGTGAATGGGAACTTCCCAGGAGGTCAACCCATTCCTGAGATTTTTTGTTTAAGCGAGCAGCTAACCCTGGAGTTCTTTCCAATCTCCAGCCATTTCCACCACAAGGCCGCCTCTAATGATTAAAGTTTTTTCCCATTTTCGATATATGATTCGATTCATTCCTATGTCCCGCATTCCACTACCCTGGCTAGCCTGCCATCCTTGGATCGCTTTGCCGGGTCGGCATGTCACACTTTCTATAAGTAAATGGCAGCCATAGGTTCTTCATGGTATTAAGGTTAATGTCGATGTTGCATGGCATGAAGGGTCCTCCAAAGCAGGGATAGGGTGGATTGCAGGGATATGCATGGCTACTATGTAGGTGGTCGGATGGGCCCTCTCTCTCATGTTATCGATCCTGCCATGGTGGAGCTACCGGGTATTAGGGAGGTGCTCAGTTAGTTGAAGGGTAAGTTTGCTGGGATGAGTGTTGTGGTTGAAAGTGATTGCTTGTGTGTTATTCAGGCCGTAACTGGTGCTTCTTTAGATTATTTTTATTTTGGTGCCTGCGTAGTTCATGATTGTAGAGTTCTCTTGAGGGATCTTCCTACAACATCTATTTATTTTGTTAAAAGGTCAGCGAATTAGTGTGCTCATATTCTGGCAAAAGCAATTGTTTTTATGTTTGTTCAGATGAAATGGAAGTCTATCCCATCATCTATTATTTGTGATGTTTTGCCTTCCGATAATAGTAATATATAAATCATTCCCATTTTCCAAAAAAAAAAAAAAAAAAAAAAAAAAAAAAAAAAAAAAAAAAAAAAAAACCTATACTTTATAGAGTCATCTTGGTTAGGGTAAGAGGCATAAGAGAATAAAGGCATAGGGTGGAGAGTGCTGACATATTACCACCGCACATCTGGGCTTATGTTTTTTATCCATAATAATATTATCAAATCAAATCCAACACTCTTAGCTGTGACCTTATTTGTCGCTTCTTTCATCGGCTGTCCCTTGTTTTTTATCAATTATTTTGTCCCCTTCTTTTTGCTTTCAATTTCGGAATCACTCTATTTATAGAATTTCATACCTTTTTTTCTAATATAACACTAATTTAATTTCAAAATTTGTTGTTACTCTTCTATTATTATTATTATTATTTATAGTAATATATCATCTCTTACTCTGCTATCCCTAAACAGTGCGTATCAATCACCTAATCTGAGGTGTGTTAGCTAATTACAGCTGTCCCTCTTTTATTCTTTTTTAATTTCAATTTTGACTGAATTTTAAATTAAAATGCAAGTTTTATCATAAATTTTAAAATTGAAGTGTGTGGCGGATTAAATTTAATTTAAGGTGCAATTATTACAATTCTCAAAATTTATATTATCCAGAATGATTTTACTTAAAATGTAACTAATATTATTTTCATTCCATAAGACAATACTTATAGCGTTGGAGAAAATAGTTTGTTCCAAAATATTTTTCACATTTGTAGTTTTAAGGAGTACTAAATATTTTTCTCTATGTTTACCCTTTGTATACTACCTCTATTCTATAATACTTGTAATATTTAAGAAAATAGTGTATTCCAAAATATTTATCATATTTGTGGTTTGAAGGAGTACTAAATATTTTTTGCATGTTTACCTTTTGTATACAACTAATAATTATTACTTCAATTTAATGATTTTCTTAGAAAATTAGTATTAAATTAAAGATAATATAGTCAATTTATTGTAACTTAGACAAATTTACTTAGACAAATTTAAATAATTTTCTTAAGGAAACGTGCAATTTCAAATGTGATAAGTATTATGGAACAGAATGTATAATAGTCTTCTTAGAGAATTAGTATTAATTAAGGATATAATATAGTCAAATTTAGGCTCAAATAGATAATATAGTCAATTTACTCAATAATTTATTGTAACTTAAATAAATTTAATAATTTTCTTAAAAAATGTGAAATTTCAAATGTGATAAGTATTATGCAATAGAAATAGAAGTAATTTCCTATACTACATATGTTTTCTTTTAAAAGGAATTGAATAGATTCAAACCCTACCATCTAATTTTGAAATCATCTCACCTTACCATTTTATTTTACATAAAAAAAATTCTCGGGCTCACAAAACTTGACCAAAAAATTTTCTTGTTTTTGGTTAATTGTTCATGTGAGTATAATTTTAATTTGCTGAAGAAACTCTGCTTGTCGTTTTATACGACATTACTTGTATTTCATTTTGTCCTTGTCTTTGTCCATCCCTATTTCTTTTGCATTTGCTAGCATGATCCACGTCATTTTCTTATATTAAAAAGAAAAAATTAATCTACTTTTCCATGATTTTTAAACTTCTTGTTTAAATTAAGTAAGTCTACGCAAACAATTCAAGCTAGGGCTAATTACTATATAGTTTTTAGATTTTTAAGAACCTCAATTTTCAAAATTATGTTATATAGTTTTTACCAATAGTTAATTTTTTTTATTAAATAATTATAAAGTGTTAAAAATACTCTCAAATATTTATTATAAGATTTTTACTGTTTGACGAAATATCCTAGTAAAAATCTTAATTTTTATTTTACACTATTTAGTTCTTATATAATGATTATTCTTAAGAGTATTTTGGATATTTTACGATTACTTAACTAAAAAGTTCCATTAAAATTTATAATATAACAAAATTGTAAAACAGAGAGTAAACAGTGTAATTTTGAAAATAAAATTTCTTACTAGTGTATTTAATAAAAATTTATGGATTAATTATTATGACAAATAGTAAATTCATAAGATATTATTTGAATTTTTAAAAATAATAAGAAAATTATGTATATTTGACGCAATTGACAGACACATGAGTAGCTGTCATTAACTGTTTACTTCCCTTTCTGAAAAGAAATTGAAGTAGCTGACAAACTCTAATAAAGCAACGATTTGCTTATCTTTAATAAGAGTCTGAAATGAGTCAATTTCAACCTAAACAAACGCCATTAAAGAAGTTGTGATCTTTCTACTCGTACAGCAGAAGCATCCTGTCGGTAGGGATAACTAGACAACTTGTCTGTTCTGTGCATCATCCAAGCCAGTGGATATCATTCACCAGAAGTAATGTCCCTATATGTAAGAATTTTTACTAGAATTAAACACCAAAAAAAACCTGAATTTTTCTCAAATTTACGATATTTTTAATTTTGTCAATCAATATTACATATTTATTTTTATTGTTATTTCTAGTCTCCATTTACAATCCGACTGGATGCAGTCAAATGTTACAGCTTCGGAAGTAAAGAAATCTGTTGCAAATCTTGATGTCACTAAATGTGCGAGTTGCTCGATAATGATCCACAAAAAGTCTAGTCCATTAGTTATAAAACCATATTAGATTTTCAGCTAAAATAAATTACTTTATAATAAAATAATCTTGAAATTTTACTAAACCTATCATACTTCTTTCAGCTAAAATAAATTACTTTATAATAAAATAATCTTGAAATTTTACTAAACCTATCATACTTCTTTCAGCTAAAATAAATTACTTTATAATAAAATAATCTTGAAATTTTACTAAACCTATCATACTTCTTTCAGCTAAAATAAATTACTTTATAATAAAATAATCTTGAAATTTTACTAAACCTATCATACTTCTTTCAGCTAAAATAAATTACTTTATAATAAAATAATCTTGAAATTTTACTAAACCTATCATACTTCTCAAGTCGTAAAATTTATTACTTTTGAAATTACAAAATTTGTTAATATTAGCCCAACAAATTTAGTGGCATGTAAAATGCATCTATTTTCTTTATGCTTTTAACAGCAACTTTTCATATAATATTTAATATTTTAACTAATATCAAAATACTAGCTCCGTTATTTATACAGCTATAGCTATTAAACTAATTAATATTATTGACAAAATTTAATTTTCTCTTTCTACTTTCTTTTTGTTTAACTACTACTAGTTCTCAAATCTCTTTCCCTCTTTGACATAAAATAAAAATCAATGTCATGTTACAAAAAAGGAAAACCGAATGAAAGAGTTAAGGAAAGATAAATCATGATCAATTATTCTGCTTGGATACGTTATAATTGTATCCTTGTATTTTAACCAAAGTAACTACTCTACCCTTGCATTTTAGAAATACATTACCATACACCTATGGTATAGGTCTGTTATATTGACATATGTTTTCGTCTATATTTTTCATTTTCAAAGACCAAGTCAATATAATTTTTCCAATAAGAAAATGAAATATATATCAAAAATACCCTTTCACTGTGAACTACTTCCTCTAATGCATGGAAATTTCTTGCCTTTTTCCCGGATTTCCTTTTTTTTCCTTTCAAAACAGTCACAACAAAGAGGGGCGATTTCTGCTGCCAGTTTCCTCCCAGTTGAAATGTTTTTTTCATTTTGTTTTTTAGTTAAGGTTAACATTATCATCTCATAGAATTTTAAGTCTAAAAATGCAAAAATTGAATGAAACACGTCAATGTGACGAACCTCAACCGTGAGCGCATAATAATATATTTTCTGAATTACAATAATAGAATAGTTAATTTGGTTAAAATATTCGGATATAATTATAATTTTCTCTTTATTTTATTTCCAACCAAATTAAATTTTTAATTTTTATAAAGAGGGAACAAATAACTAAATATTAATGAAAAATAAAAGAAATAAGAGTAGATATAATAGCCACAACTAAGATTCCTCACTTTTCTTATATCTTCCATAATCCTTTTTCGACAACCAAAAATTCCTTCACACGTATAAATTGCTCGTTATATTATGCAAACCATTCCGAACTGCAAATTTATGCGGTTAGTGAAATTTCTATTGGAACCATAAAGGGGCTTACAAAGACCAGTTTTTTCTCACTTTATATGAAGATCAAAATATCAACTGTACACAATCTAAGTTTCTTACTGACATATTTATTTTATCATTGTCTTTTATCTCAACTCAACTAATTAGTTCACCTGAAGATGATACAAAAAGCGCACTTCCAAAGAAAATCGTTCGGGTAAAAATATATCATAGGTATGAATCAAGATATCATTATGTATGCCTTTTGCTATATTGTAGCAAACTTCCATAAGTCCGATCCCAAATTCCGATGTATAAGGATTCGTCGTCTGGACTTAGAGCCACTCCTGATATCTCACCAAAGAAATCTATCTCTTGCCGCCTTTTGTAATCGGCTCTGGTACTATACACATGAACAAAATCTGCAGGTTCAGCCACCACCATGAACTCACCATCTGACGAGAAGCGAATAGATCGAACAGCACCCAAGTTTCCCTTGAGAACTGAAACGGGCGACGACAAGTTTCTTATATCATGAACAAAATCTGCAGGTTCAGCCACCACCATGAACTCACCATCTGACGAGAAGCGAATAGATCGAACAGCACCCAAGTTTCCCTTGAGAACTGAAACGGGCGACGACAAGTTTCTTATATCCCACACCCGGCAGGTCTTGTCCTGATTACCTGTGGCAAAAACATGTCCATCTGGATGCCATGCAGACGCAAAAGAATAATCTAGATGACCTTTGACAGTGGCTACAGTCTGCAAAGCCGTTAAACAAGATTCATATCAGCAAAATCAATCCCACTCCAAACAAATTGTAATGTAGAATACAATTAAATCTGCGTAGGGAAGTCCTTTAAAACTATGATTTAAAAAATGTCATACAGCAGTTTGTGAAATACACTGAGCATTCCATAAAGATAGTCCAGTTGACCTTTTGACAACCCAAATGAATTTTTTTCCATAGAAACTTTTTACAAGCAGCCATCATTTACCATGGTTTAAGAGCTACTTTCCTTTGTACATTCCAAAAACAAATAACCCATTAGACTCATGATTACCCAAAGAAGTTTACTTTCATCATATAAGCTAACTTTTCCTTTTTTACCCAAAGAAGTTTAGTCTCACGTATAATTTTTTTTTCTTTTTTCCATTTCTCTGTGTTGGGGCGGCAAAGTAGTTTAAGAATTTGCTCTCTCCCTTGATATTTGAACATTTCCCTCATCTTTTTATAGACAGTGAGTGAAATAAGGTCGCATCTCCTTTCTGCAAGAACATACTATAATGACATTATGTCATCATTTGGTTTTAGGATAATTACAGTTCAGTGTTTGAACCTTTATTTTATTTAATCAAATGTTTGGAGACATTTCATTTCATTTGATGAATTGGATTAAAAACTATAATGGAAGATTTTATCCTATCCCTATACTCCATTCACTCTCTCAATTTCACCCTTTCTCTCTTAATACATTCTTCCAAATTTCCAGTGAAATTTTCTTGGAAAACGAGAGAAATTTTGTTTATTTTAGATATAGGTAATAGAAGAGAGAGAAGAAAGAAGTAAGAAATAAAATGAAGCTAAAGTTCATTACAGCTTTGATTCTTGTGCAAACAAATTCTGAGTTCTAGGGAAGATATTATTGGCATGAGATTTTTCTTTCCATGGCTTTTCTATCAAAGATTGAAGACCAGATAAAGGATTCTTGAAACAAGATATAAAATTGTATGAAATACTTAAAAAAATTACAAAAAAATAACCAAGAGAAAAAAGTAAATGAAAACAACTATTTTGATGAAAAAACTAGTTGCATAAGAGCAGAAAGGTTTTACAAAGACCGATGATTTAAAAAAGAAAGAACTGGAGAAGCGAAAACTAGCATTAACAGTCAGGTCCGGTAGAAATTTGTTTTCAGAATTTAGGATCTGCATTGAAGTGTCACGTTTAGGAAGGGAAGAAATTAGATATTTAGAACGATAAAAGAGTAAATTTACTTTAATAATATGAGCGTGTCACTCCAAAGTTCACAGCTAAAACTACACAAAAATGTTCTCACTAGAGACCATAACATGGTTCGACCCACAAAACACTCTTGACCTTTACCTTGAGGGGACCAACACATTTTACCTTGCCTCATTTAAATATTGCTGTACTTTTTACACTTGAGAAACCCAGGTATTCTGTCCTTGTTCATAAGGCACCCATTCTATTTTTACCTTGTCCACATTTCTAATTATCATTGTTTTCCTAGCACTAAAGTTCCCTCTGAGCTGAAGGCAATTTGCTTTGGTCAACACTGCTTAACAGAATCCACATCAAACGAGTGGCATAAATTTTTAGTTTTCCCATTTAAGTGAGCTTGAGTTTTTAGGGTTTCAGAACAAGGAAGAAAGTTAATAATCTTTGGCAGCAGTTTTCCCAAATGCAGCGAGTAAATAAGAAACATAATGCAAGGATTTCCAAAAAGCATCATTTCTCATCAAGTCAATTCCAAGTAAGATTTTAATTTAGGCTTCATTGTATGTTGTGCTCAGCTAACAGTTTTCTTAAAAATAACCTATTTAATTGATAATAGAGCAAGATTGAAGAGCTATTTTGTGTTAGTTTACTTTTTTCTTTCTTTTTCCCTTTTCGAGGAGGATATCTTATTGTCCTCTTTACAATTCTTCTCTGCATAGCTCCCAATTAGAGATTATCGACAAGAGCTGTATTTCGACTTTGTTAACAAAGAATATAATTGGGGGCATTTTACATGAATTCTTTATAGCATCTGATGCAGTTTATCTGCCTCATCATCAGCAGTAGCATAAGTTCCTTTGCAAGTTAAATAGAAGCAGTAATATCTCAAAATGTCTAGTAATAGAAGAGAGAAGAAAACAGGGGGTGCGGTGCGGGGTGGTGAGGATGGGAATCATACCTTTCCATTCTGCGCATCAACCAGCAATCCATCCAGGTGATCTCCAACAACAGCTATTAGTCTACCGTCAGGGCTCAATGAAGTATGCTGCATCAGAGTCAATTAATTTAGCAATGAAGCTGGAAGTCGCAAAAGAGTTGTAGCAGCAAGGGACAGCTAACAACTAAAAAAATGGCATATCTAACCCATCGCATTAACTAACTCCTTCAAGCGCAGGAATTTGAGCTCAATTCTCAAAATAATTAACTGGATGCAAAATTTAAATGCAATGTGTGGAAAAAGCATCTTCTACTTTGTTAATCTAAATGAAGTGATAAATGAAGTGAAGAATCTCAATTTTCCTAGTTCAACAGACCCTAATTTCAAACTGTTCCATCATTAAATGTGAAAGATCAGTTGTTTTCATCCGTAAATTACTGAAAAAAGGGAAAATTAAAAAAAAAAAAAAAAAAAAAAAAAGGGAAAAATTAAAAAAAAAAAAACAAAAAAAAAAAAGGCCAAACCGATGATATGTAAATTGTATACTTTGTATTAGCGGCAGAGGAGGGCTTCACATTACTGGCCAAGAGAAGCGACAAGTGATTTCAGGAAGCTGAAAACCTCTCCATGTCATATTCTCTTACACCACAGTCATGTATTGGATGTGATGAAATGGATTCCACCGCCTCCAAAAGAGTTTGTACATCTAATTTAATTCTCGTGAACTGATTAATCATGCTTGAAAATAAGAGACAGGAAAATAATAACCCTACCTCAAAGCTGTCATTAATATCTCAATAGCATTTGTGGATGGCATTATCATCATATGGTGGTGCGGGTAAAAGCTAAATGCCTTCCTTTATCCAAACGCTGTAACAATAAAACAAAATGCTATTTTTTCAAGAAAACAAATCATAAAGGAAAAATGAAAACACAACAAAATTGCAAGTTTTTTTTTTTTTTTTTTTTTTTTCTCCTTTTTGGGAGGAGGAGGAGGGGGGAAGTGCTTGAAACAACAAGGGTAGAATTGAAAACATTTACTGATTAGTCTCCTCAATCCAAGCCCAAAAATATATTGAAGAATTGAATCATTCATAAATAAAAAAATAAAAAAAAAATACAACATAATAATAATAATAATAATAATAATAATAAAAGAAAGAAAGAGAAAGCCTAAAGCCTAGCAGAAGGAAATAATTGATTACATCTGTTGCACATCAGCCCCTGAACCCTTAAGGCAATTATTCTTCTTAAAAACTCTGGTTTGATCTTGGAAGTAATATTATTACAAGTAACAATATTTATAGCAACCATTAAGCATAAACCAATCCCTGAATCATTATGACAACTATTGTTTTTAGGAATTCCGCGTGCAGTTTTAACTGTCGCAAATTTTCATTTTTTTATCTTCTGGAGGAGGTTTGGTGTTGTGAATGTACAAACACATGAACATGCATGCATTTTGATTGGAGCAAGAAAGAGAGAGAAAGGCCAGAATGCAAAAAGCAAGCTACATGCTTCGAACCGTCTATCAACCCAAATTAACATGAAGCACAACAACTACCGCCATATAGATACAAGGAAATAAAGGAAGATTGGATTTGTTTGTTAGAAATTAAATATATCCAACAGAAAATGAAAACATAAACAGAGTGCTATTATTAACTACAGTAAGCTATGAAAAGAGCACCAGTACTCACTTTGCAAGTAAGCTCTCCTTGGAAGCCCCCTGCTACAAGAAAATTATCCTTGACTGCTAATGTGCTAATCTGAGTTTGGGTAAAACCTTCTAACAAACTCCCTGCATGTTTCTATATTAAAAACCAATTAAGATTAGCAACATATGTGTAAATGCTTATATATATATACAAAAGAGAGAGAGAATGACCAATAAAGAAGCAAATAAAAGCACACTACAACAGAAAGTTTTTATAAATTGTAAATTTAATATGGAACTATAAAGAAGACATAATACCTCATATGAATGGAACTATAAAGAAGACATAATACCTCATTAGGTGCTACATGTCCTGCAAAATTGATAACCTCGGACAAATTGCTAGATAATGATGACCAGTGCATGACTGAATATTTAGACATGAGATAGACATCATGTTTTGTAGTAGCCCAAACCAAGTTCCTAAGCTGCATAGCCATTGGACACCAGAGAAAAAGAAACGGATTATCAAATGGGGTAATAGAATTTGCAAAGTACATCAAAACCAACAATTAAAAACCAAGCTGAGACAACTTAAAAATTCAATTATTAAAAGAAGGTACACACAACATATAATCAGATATAGCACTCATAGAGTCTACAAACCTGAAAATGAAGAATTGTGGGCTTCACCAATCCAGTATTAAGGAAGAATTCGTAGTAGTTCCCTCCCTTCTCCATTTGTTTGCACTCCTAAAAGATTATGTATGTAATAAAAAATAAATAAATACATAAATAAATAAATAATCACCAAATTTCAAACCCAACCAATTTAATACGTAGAAGGAAAGATAGAAATTAAAAATAGTATTAAACAAAAGTAACATACCTTATCCACAGCTTGACCAGATAAAACCTTATCCACAGCTTGACCAGATAAAGGAATGTTCTCATAATTCTTGTACTGTTCAAGCCTTGTCAATCTGTACTTATCCCTAGTTATATTCAATCTCTCCCATGGAATTCCTTGTATGTCTTTCGCATCCCTAGCTTGGGCAGAAGATGTATCAGTGACCTTGGTCAGCTGCTTAGAATTCAATTCCAATAATTCATTATTGTAATCACAACCATCAGTTAGATATTAAAAATCAAATCAAAACTAACAATAACTTAAAAATAAATAAACAAACAAACCATGTCATATTCATCTGCTTCCATTTCTACACTGTCTTGTCCTCCATAATTACTTCCATCTTCCATTTGGTCGATTTCATCTCCCTTCTCCTTCCTCCGCCATGAAATCGAATTCCCCTAAATGCTAGTAAGACATTCTACCTTGCAAATCTGCCGCTGATTTTTCTTATCTTTTGTCTTCTTCTTCTAGATTTTTGCCTCTCATTCTATTTTCTTTTAATTCGGATGGTATAATTTGAGTGTCTGAAATTCTTTTTGGAATAAGGGTGAAGAGGCATGGCCACCGGTTCGGTTCGAACCAGAACCGAATCGAAATCGAACCGTACTGTAGACGAACTGAAATCAAACCCGAACCGGTGGTTCAAGAGTTGTTAAGGTTCACGCGAATGTTAAAATATAAATCGGAATCTGTCCAAAACCGGCGGTTTTGGTCCGGTTCAAACCGAAAATTTTCTATTTTTATTTTCAAAATGATAATCACTTAGTCTATTTTATTCATCTCTAAAATTTTCAATAATATTATACTACATGATATACTTTATTTAAGAATTTTTTTTAAAAAATATATTTTACTTTAAAAGTTAAAAATCTAAAAATTAAAATGGTAAAAAAAGAGAGAAATATTTAGTCTAAACTTATATTATTTTTAACTGAGAGAAAATATTTTAGTCTAAAACTTATATTATTTTTAACATTTTTTTTATCCTTTTAAATTGTTTTTGTTAAGTTTTAAAATTACATTCTTTGAAAGCATTTTTTCAAAAATTCCTTATAATTTATTTATTATAACATTAATTAATAACATTTAAATAAAATAAAGTGATAATTTATTTGATTATTTTGTAAAATTAATTAATTTTACTCCTAAATGAGTATCAACATTCTAAAATTTATTTAAAATAAAATTTACCAATATTTTTTAAATTCATATTAATATGTGCGAAAGAAAAATGTAACATTAAAATCGATATTTAAAAAAAACATATATTGCCGAAAACCGTGAACGGAACCGTCGATTCATCAGAACCACACTGAAATCGACCGGAACCGAAATCAGACCAGAACCAATGGTTCAAAAGCTGACTCAAATTCAACATTTTAAAAAATTTGAACGTCGGTTTCGTGAATCGAATTCGGCGATTCAATGAATCGCCATGCCTAAGGGTGAATCCAATATTACAACTTTGCTCGGCGGGATAAAAGGATTAAGATTTTATCTATTAGGCCAATTGAATGGATTAAAAAAAATTATATTTGACTTTTTAAATTAATTTAGTTTCTATTCTTTATTATATTTATAATATGAGAATCTTTATATAAATATTTATAAAAATAATTAAAATCCATGCATTTCTCTTTTTGAATAAATTAAAATTACACTGCATATTTTGTAAATTAAGTGTGTTACATAGAAATGTTACTTGTATGGATTTTAAAATTTTATTCAAAAGAGTTGAAAAAAGTTTGATGCAGTTGTTCCTTTTTAATTAAATTAATTCATTAATTTGTAAAAATCAAAATAGATTCATAGATTAAATTGCCTAAAAAAGTTATATATAATATTTTTAATTATTTTAAACAAGTTAAAAGGTTAAATTGACTTAAAAAGTCATATCTGACATTTTTCATCATGCTAAATAAATTCATGTGTCATATTAATCTCTATTCAAATTCTTTTTAGTGTCTAAATGAAAATATCATAATTAATTATCTGATCAGCAATTTTGGTAGTAGTACAACTAAATGAGTTTAGTTTTAATTTCTTGTTGAAAAATCAAAATGAACTATTTTACTTAATTACTTTATTTTTTATTTTTCTACTTAATTACTTTATTTTTTATTTTTCTAAATTGTTATCTTTTGTTATTTATTTTTCTCTCTTTCTTTTAATATTATTTTAAAATTGAAAGAAAATTGGAAGGAATTTCTGAAATTTTTTATTAAAGAGAAAAGACATCAAATAATAAAAATAAAAAATAAAAAAAATTAAGAAATGAGAAATATGATTAAATTAGGTGACAAATCAAAAACAACAATAGAAGAAATGACAATTGGAAGTGAACTCCTAACTGTTAGACTAACACTAAAACAAGCTACATTTGCAAGGACATGCGTTGTCTCGTTTGCTTGCCTATCAATCCAAGCTAATGACACAATATTAGTTTCCATTAAGAGTTTCCTACCGTCCTATACTAAGGCTATGCATGGTTCTTGGAAAACCGAACCAAATCGCAAAACCTACCATATTGAACTGAAAAATATGAAATATGGAAAAAAAATCTGCAAGAGTTTCTTTTAAATTTAGACTTAAAAATTTTTGCATGTAAACAATACTTCGAAATTTACCACAACAGTTCCATAATTACTACTACTTACTAACCCAATCACACTCAAACTCAAATATTCAATTATTCAATCTTAGTCAACACATTCATGAAGCATTCGCAAGATCAATCAAACATAGCCATTAACTAATCCATATACATACATTACACATCTAAATCATTAAAATACTCCAAAATTTACGTCTTGTAACAATTACACCCTAAATACAATTTAGCTCCTCAGTCACTCAATTATAACATTTTGTTGCTATTGTAACCTAATTCAAAACTGATTAGTTAGTGAATAAAAAAAATTAAGTGTCTGTGTAACATCCCTTCCCGGTTCACCCGTAAACCCGAATGAACCGAACCGAGACGCTACAAACTGGTTGACCGTATGGCCTGACATGCTGAAATCATAATGTTGTAATATTGAATAATAATATCATGCCTTGATGTTATGTTTACATAAACTAATGTATTTAATATTTTAACAAGACAATGTTTACTAAGTTTAAAAATGAAAGTGGGCCCACTGTGTGCCCTGTACATTGCCATGAAAGGCTAGACAAAAGATACACATACAGTAAAATGAGTAAGCTACGCCCCCTGAAGACGAGTTCCTTCTACAGATGAACTGCAGCAAGTTGTAAGCTGACTCTCTAAGTCCCCAGTCGCAAAACCTGCGAGTTTAAAACAGTTAACCTCGCTGGGGCCAAAAAATAGGGCCCCCCCAGTGGGGGGGGAAAAAAATTTTTTAAATTTTCCCCATTCGGACTTATATAAGAAACAAGTAAGCACATACAGATTATAAATAGGCATGTAAATGCATATGGATAATTAAGCATTTTAAGCACACATATCATGATACTTTCATTATAACTTGATTAATCTTTCGTACTGTTTATAATACTGTATGATTTCATAGAAATGTTTATGTCAAATATCTGTATGGCTTCCATAAGGTTATAGTGGAAACCGAAGTGAATAGAGAAAAACCTGTATGAAGCTGGATGAATACTGTATGCTTGGCTGCTATGGCCCATATATAATCAATATCCACATCAACGGCCCTGTAGCCGGAGTAATCAAACGTAATGGGGTGCAAGATCTGCTATCCTATGTCGCGACAATAGCCTTATCTAAGTGGTTTTCCTACCTAACCTCAATGAGCCTAATGTTGGTATGTCAATAAATATAAACACAACATCAATATTAATAGTTCATAACTTCATAATTCATAATGTATATTGCGATGAAGGTCGCGAGCGCTTACAGGCCAAGGGCCAAGTACGCGAGCGCGCACTTCAAAGTCGCGAGCGCGAGATGTGCCAAATGAAAGTCAGAGAGCTTGCGAGCACAAGTCGCGAGCGCGCACTTGAAAGTCGTGAGCGCGAGATGTGCTAAATGAGATTCAGAGAGTTTCAGGTGAAAGTCGAGAGCGCGTAATTCAAATTCGCGAGCGCGAGAAGGTAACGCAAACTCGTCATGCAATTCGCGCGCGCGCTTCCAGCCTGCACTGTCTGTATTCTTTTGGTCATATCTCTCAATATACAACTCCAATTTGGATGATTCAAAAATCCATGTAAAGCTAACACATAGAGGAACAATAACTCTTCTATGACAACTTCCTAAATTCCATCATTAAATGGGGTCAAAATAGGATGAAACGTGTACTGGTAAAATATTAAGCAAAACCTGTTTAGCATAAACTCACTATTTACTTCATTTAATTCAATTCCTCCCGCCTATTTTCTCAACCATTACCAGTCTCCACTCAAATGAAGCATATTGTCTCATTAGCAAACACACACACACCCAAATTCTCATGCAAAGAAAATTGTAAATGAAAGAGATATCAAAACCTTTACGCCAAAAAGCTTTGTTAGCCTCGTTCTTTTTAACTTCCTTTTTCTTACTACGCTTTGAACTCACTTCCACCTATAAAATAGAATTCCTTAGAATATTCTAAAATCAGCACAAATGATTCAATTATGAAACTCAGAAGGTTTTACTTACTTGGAAATAGAAGAGAAGTTTGAAGTTAAGGCTTAACTACCATGAAAATGGATGGAGAAAGGAAGGAGTGAAAAAAGATAAGATAAAGATGAAATGGGAAAGTGAAATGGTTTATTACGGTAGGCCAATCAAAATATCATGAATTTTTATGTGAAACTTCCCCTAAATGGTACCCTCAGTTGTCACAGGTTACTACTTAAGACCTCAAGCTTGATCTTTTAATGCAAATAACCATATGCTTTGATCTTTTTCTCTCAATCAAGTAAGTCCACTTATAATACCATTCTACCCCAACCGGGTTTGGTTTGGCCCGACTCAACTCGACTCTCTGAAATAACTCGACTCAGTGCTAAGACTCGACTCGTAGGATGTCACGATTCTCCCCTCCTAAATAAAAACTTCGTCCCGAAGTTTACCTGTTGTGAACAATTGCGGATACTGTTGTTGCATGGTGTCTTCAAATTCCGAAGTTGCTTCTTCTGTATTATGATTCCTCCAAAGAACTTTTACCAATGCTATTTTCTTGTTCCGTAATTCTTTAATTTCTCTGGCTAAGATCTGAACTGGTTCTTCTTCATCTTCATAAGTGTAGTCCGGCTGAATTTCAATCTCTTCTGGCTGATAACAGCATGTGATGGGGTCTGATCTGTAATCTCCTTAACATTGGATACGTGAAGACATTATGAATTCGGATCCTAGAGGTTATGAGGTAACGCCTAGGCGATAGGCTAATGGTCCTACACGTTCAACAATCTCGTATAGACCAATGAACACCTAGGGCTAAGCTTACCCTTTCGTCCAAACCTTAGGATCTTTTTCCATGGTGAAACTTTCAGAAATACTTTATCACCGACCGAATACTCAATATCCTAATCTCCTCGACCATCTGCAAAGTTCTTTCACTTGCAGAATCTAGCTCGGCTCTCAATACAATGGTAGTAAGGTGTTTTCAACTCTATTTTTATTTTTGCACCTTGTTTTGATAATATATGATGAGTTTGGAGAAGTGGTCTTATTTTTGCACACATTGGAGACAATGTGCTAGATTAAGTATATGGTGCCATCTTGATGCTTGATTGGTAACTGTTGTTATAAGCGAATTCCATGAGAGATACATATCTGTCCCAACTGCCTTCAAATTCAATAACACATTATCTCAACATGTCTTCCAGGATTTGAATCACTCTCTCTGATTGCCCATCTGTTTGCGGATGAAATGCAGTGCTGAAATGCAGTTTCGTTCCTAATGCCTCCTGCAGTTTACCCCAGAACTTCGATGTAAACCTTGGATCACGATCAGAGATAATGGATGATGGAACTCCATGTAGTCGAACTATCTCACGAAGATAAATTTCTGCTAACTTGTCCAGAGAGAATAGTCCATCCGAACTGGTAGGAAGTGTGCGGACTTAGTTAATCTGTCCACGATCACCCATACTGCATCATGCTTCCGCTGCGTCTGAGGTGATCCAGTAACAAAATCCATCGTGATCTGATCCCACTTCCATGTTGGCACTGTTACTGGATGAAGTAACCCAGCTGGCAATTGATGTTCTGCTTTTACTTGTTGACATGTTAAACATCTTGTTACAACATTTCCGATGTCTTTCTTCATACCCGGCCACCAATAACCTTTCTTCAAATCGTGATACATCTTGGTACTACCTGGTTGCATTGTGTATGGACTGTTATGAGCTTCATGTAGAATCTTTTGTCTAAGCTCCCCTATCTGCGGTACAACAACTCTGTCTTCATAAAACAATACTCCGTCCTTCATAAATTAAGACTCCACTGTTATCCAATCCGAATTTCCCACCCATGATCTTCCTGTACTTGTTT